AATCTAAATAGAATATATATGATAGGGGAGGACAAAATGATGGAAACACTTCTATGCTAATAAATTTTTTCCTATTTCTCCAGAAATAGTTAACGAATTATTTTTTAACTTCTGATGTGTTTAGATCATGCGATTTCTCATACATATCAATGAAGTTTAAACTTTTAGAGGTTTGATAGACCTACAATTAATTACAAATGGAAAATAATGTTTTTAATCACCCTTTTATTATTATTATATGCAATAATTAAACAGAATGTCGTAAGCCTAGCTTAAATATTTATGGAAATATGGAAATTTTTTATAAATGTTTATTTATTTTTTATTTTTTATTTTTTTATTTTTTTTTTTTTGTCTTACGTTTTTTTGCTATAACTTTAAAAGTATTCGATAAAAGTAAAAAAAAATTTATAGCAATTTAAAATTCAATACGATTCTTTTGCTTTAAATCATTTAAAACTATGTAAGATATGATATGAGTGGTAAAGATATGAGAAGTTAAAGTAGTTCGGCTAGAAAAAAAGAAAGAAAAACTTCATGATTTTGTCGTATTTGGCAACTAATGAACATTGAACAAAACCAATTTGAATATTTTAAAAATTTAAAAGGTTTCAAGCAATTTTAAAAGTTTTCATACTTTCAAAAGAAAGCTCAAAATGATAAGGTGGTTTTCTACAAATATTATTCAGTATCAGAAGAATTTAAAAACAAATGATAATACCCTACAAAGAACGTTCATACACCAGAATGTTATTCAATAAGAAAAGAAAATAGAAGAAAAGAAAATACTTTTAATAAATCTTGTTAATACTACAAAATCATTTTCATCATTTTTAATAAATCATGCTAATAGCACAAAATGAAATATGTGGAAAACCCCTAGTCACTATGAGCAATCCTTTAAAAAATACGAAAACTATTTAGAAAATTGCTAGAAATTTTTTAAATATTAAAGGTATTCAAATATATATACATAAATATATAATATAATATATATATACTGAATATATGTATACTAAATTTTAAGAAGTTAGGTCAGTTGTGCATAAAGAAAATAACGAATGAATAAATAAAATAAAATAAATACTAGATGTTTTCAAAATGATGTTTAGTGAATATATTTTTTAGGAAACCTCCAAATATTTCTCACGCTCTTATACTTATTAATTTATATTCAATATTTATACTTAAAAGTGGTAAACCGTTTAATTTTCATTTATTGAAAACTGAAGGATGTACAATTTAAAAGCCCAACTTAGAAAAACTTCCTAGCTGCACCACCTCATCGAATTTAAAGGAATCAATATACATAAATTATTTCATTTTTTAGTAGAATTCATTTTTTTTCTCATTTTTTTTTCTAAACAAAACGATGAGTCAAAAAATAGGCTATTTTTAATCGAAATTCTATTTTTTATACTGCTGTAAACACCGCTCTTTATTTGTAAGAATAATATTTTTAACAAATATTAAATATCAAATATATATTGATCAAGTATTGAAGAGAAAAGAAGGAATGTAAAGAAACTTTCCATTATCTTAAATGTATGAACATTCATGTTAAAATTGACATGAGGAGTAGAAAAATGTATGGAAATCTTTTTATTTGTTAGAATAATATTTTTAACGAATATTAAATATCAAATAAATATTGATCAAGTATTGAAGAGAAAAGAAGGAATGTAAAGAAACCTTCCGTTATCTTAAATGTATGAACGTTCATGTTAAAATTGACACGAGGAGTAGAAAAATGTATGGAAATCTTAATAACTGAATCTTAATAACTGAACTAACATCTTAATGATAGAATTAACTTTCAATACGATGCATAAATCGTTGCGCAGAAAATTAAAATTTAAAGAAAATCGCCGTAATGGATTTAAGTATAAAAAGATTAATAACTTAATTAGATTTCAGAACGGCCAATAGATGGCAGCATGACACTCAAACATTTTACATGTTTTCGGAATCAAGAGCAGAAAATGTTTAAGGGAGTTTGTTTCAATGAAATACTGTGCATAAATCGTTCAGCAGAAAATTAAAATTTTGAAGAAAATCGCCGTAATAGATTTAAATATTAGAAACTTAATAACTGAATTAGCTTTCAAAACTGCTCATAGATGGTAGCATTGAAACATTTTACATTTTTTCGCAATCAAGGGTAGAAAATGTTTAAGGGAGTTTATTTCTTTTTTTTTCTTTAGAAAACGACTTTTCTTCCAATGGAAATCTAAGTTAAGTTATACTAATGTGTTTAAACAATAAAAACAATGAAACTGTAGAGTCACGTGAGGATAATAAAAAAATCTTGTCAGTGAAACTCATTGCTAAGGTTAGTTTTAGTTAACTTTTCTTCGTTTTGTTTCAGCCGCAATTTATGATTTCAAATAAGTAATGAACTATAACAATTCAATTCAATATAAATTGAAAAGGAATAGCAGCTGAGAATTTCTCTGAAAGCAACACGCCCGATTAATATATTGTAGTTTAATTTTTGATACAACAGATTTGCTGAAATGTGTAATTAATTTTCAATTTTTATAATTGGTAACGTATTATATTTATTATTAGTATACGTTATATACGTATTATATTATTATCAGTATCATATTTACTGCCGCCATATCAAAAGATTTTATCATGAAATTAAAACTTTTAACATTGAAGTTGAAAAAGAAATCATCATTTTGCTTTGTAGAAATTAAACGGTATATGAGCATAAAGGAATAAAAATATTTCTAACATTTGTAAACATTATTATTTCATAATATCATTAAAATTAAAAAGACAGTTTTCTAATTTGGAAGCGCGTCACTATCACAATTTAAAATAAAATAAAAATTCACAATCAATAACAAAATATAATTTATTTGATTAATTTTATCATACAAGTATCATTGACTTGTTTTTTACTGCACAATATTTTACCTCATTCTAATAGTAGTTAATATAAATTCATCTTGATATTTTAAATCTTTAATAAGGGTTATATTTGTAATTATTAGTAGTAAAGTACAGTAAGTAAATCTAAATAAATTTTATTGAAACTTAATAACGCTGAGATAAATTAAATATCCGACAACTTTTTATTATACACCAAAGTCGAGAATAAATTCTTGAAATGTTCCTGAAAATGTATTTTTTAATAATTATTTCTGGAAAAAATTTTTTAAATAATAAATAATTTTTTCATAAAAATAATTTTGATCGAAGTCATTTATGTTTATTTTATATTTAACTCTTATCGTTTAATTAAATAACGCATAAATTTACTTTTAATGAATTATTTATTAAGTAACCAAAAGAATTTTTAAAAAATGAATTTTTTTCGCATTCTTTTCACGACGCACTTTAATTTTCTGAACTATTTTTGACGAAATCGCTAATGGAAACAGGAATAAACAGGAATTATTAACGCAGCAATCTTGCTTTTATGCGAAAATCAGAATTGTTCACAATTCACTTTGATTTAATTAAATTGCACCCTTATCTTTTTTTGAGGACAATTGAAAAAAATATTTAACACATGAGGTGGAAGGTCTTTTTTTTTTCTTCAGATTATTAAGAAAATGACTGACTTGATTCCGGGAGAGTTAATGTAGGAAAGAACAGTGCGAAAAAAAGGAGGAAAACTTCCTATATAACTATTCACTGACTCTTGATGGTTCAAGTGCTTAAACTAAAATATGCAAACTAGTTAGTGTGGCAATACTTAAAGTCATTAAATTAAGAAAAGAAAAAACGTAATTTCTCTGAATAAACACTTTTTTTTTAAACACATTTCTCACTCCCGATATATGAGGGGTGAATTAGCTTCAATCTCGAGAATGAGGTCCCAACAAGTAAGGGAGAAATCGTTTGACACTTTTATATCAAACCCTAAATATCAAACACTCTTATAGCGAATCTTTGCACGCAGTTATAATATTCGCCTTCCCAAAAATGATAGCATGCAATATATATATATATTAAATTATTNCGATTGCTTTCCTAAACTATTGGAACAATATTTTTCAGATCGAGACCCATACTTTGAGAGTCAGGAACCCGTCGTAAAAAGGATATGTTTTTCACAAAAGTACGTTTTTGTGTTTGATTCTGAAAGATATGTGTGAATGGAATACCGATGACAACTTAAATTGTCGTCTGCATTCATTAAATTGTATATTTAAGGCTTAACTCTCGAATCATTAAGAGTGAGTTTAAGTACGCGAAAATCCGATCATTAGATGAAATGTTATTCAAGGTGTTTGGTCCTTGAACATGAATAAAGTACAAATAACGACATGTAGACGTATGATAGTTTCAGTACTATAATAAAGCACTCTTTTTCTGCTTCGTAACACTTAAGTTTTCCCATTTATGCCCAGACACAGAAAGTGGTCTTTATATGAAAAACTACTATCTGAAAATAGTGGTAGTATATATTTATTTATACCAAGTGGATATTTTTTTCTGTTACCACTCACTTTAATTTCAAAGAAAATAATATCCTTACTTCAGATCTAATTATAAAAGTTTATATTGTTAATATATAATGGTAGACAGAGTTACTTTGTTTCTGCAAAATTAACCCTAAAAATGAACCACTTGTGCTACCATTTCTTTTTTTCGTATTTGAAAAAAAGCAAACCATTTCTATAAAAGAACGCAAGGCACAACTGGGTTAAACCTGATTTATTCGGGTTGAAGTGTATAGTTTGCGAATCAACATTTCATTCACAAGTGCGTCGACGAAAAATACAATATACCTTTCTCACTTCCGAGTCTTACTGTTGATGCAAAATAAAAAAAAATTAAAAAAATTTCTCCGAAATCTGCAAAACTAACATAGAAGTGAATATTAAAAAACTAAATTATAATGTCATTCCCCTTTCTAATTATTTTATGTGATTTACTTAATGAGCATTCTTTTCTAGGCAAACTACTTGGTGCAAAAATTATTCGTCAAGCTAAAAAAGAAGGCGATGGTAAACCACACATTAAACGACCAATGAATGCGTTTATGGTATGGGCGAAGGACGAAAGGCGAAAAATTCTTAAAGCTTGTCCAGACATGCACAATTCAAATATATCCAAAATTTTAGGTAATTTGTGTCCTAAATTTTTAACGTTTTTTTTTTTGTAAATAATTTTAAAACTTTGTGCCAGATTTTGTCACGTGATCACTCATAAGGTGTTTAAAATATCCCAAATCCTTAATGACGAACTTTAACATACAGTTAAACCTTCAGAAGGGACCACCTCTACGTAACGACCGGTTTGAGAGACACGGAAATTTTTGAATAGAAAACCTTTAGGCGAGGACGCCAAAACCTCTCCCAGCAACCGGGCAAACATCTACACCAAATGCGTAATAAGGAAACACGAAAAAATATAAAAACAAAAAATTGAACAAAAGAAATAAGTAGATTAAATTACATTCAAAATAATTACGTGAGGCTCTTATTTAGTGAGCTCTTTTTGACGATACAACCTCATGTTGCAATCAGAGTGCTCTAAAGACGATGCTATCAATGATTTGCTTCTAGTTAAATTAGAGAAAAAAGTTATTTTAGAAAAAAAGACAAGCACTTCAAACAAACATCTTCTCATTTTTTAAAGCTAACTAATTTTCATGATATAAAATTAAATGCATCATAACTATGAAACTATTAAATGCCTCTTAATGCAAAAATAGTATTTGTTTATTTATTTAAAATAGCTTTATAATTGGTAAATTTGTTTTTACATTAATTTAACATAATTGTTTTTACATAATTGGTTTTTACATAATTGGTAAATTTGTTTTTACACATAATTATATCAGTTTTGATCATTTTTATAGCTGCTAAATTTTATTCATCGATATGTCTTTTCATAACAAAGCAGTGTTCAAACGTTTGACAAATTCACACCTCTTCATTCTCGATTAAGAAGAACCTAGTGACGATGTTCAAAGTATCCCAAAATTGGTGTTTTCGATAGCGAAATTATTTATGAATGGTGTGAATTCTGTTGATTTTGGTGTTCTCCATTATGGGTATTTAGATTTAATAGCTCCCTCTATAGTAAACATTTGATTTAATGTTAAATCGAAATAAAACGAGTTGTTCAATATCAAATTCAGAAGAGCTATTACACCACAGTATAGACATGTGCAGCTACAGACCTTGATTGGTTTCGTGTTTCTGATGGTCGGGTGCCCCAGTAAGAGGATTTCCTGTTAAAACTTTCATTATCTAATATTGTCGAAATTACTTTCTGCCTGCTTCAGAAATCTAAATGCATTTAGATCTATATTAATTGCTTTGCTAAACTATAATGAGTGACTTCATGTAGCAATCAAAATGGTTTTGTTATTCGGTTATGATTCAAGTTTTTGTTTGCCTTTAAATATGATTGATTTTTGTAGGTGCAAGATGGAAAGCAATGACAAATTCTGAAAAACAACCATATTATGAAGAACAATCCCGTTTAAGTCGATTACATATGGAAAAACATCCAGATTACAGGTATAGACCTCGACCCAAAAGAACGTGTATTGTTGATGGCAAAAAACTTCGCATTTCAGAATATAAACAGCTAATGAGAGCAAGGCGACAAGAAATGAGGAATATGTGGTACGACATATTTCTTTTTAATTTAATAAATATATATCGCTATTTCATAATTTAAATTTTTCTGTCCTGATCAGCACATGAAAGCCAACACGGAAAAAAAGCATAAGGAAACCTTTTTTTATCTTTTTATTTTTTTCTGAAATGACATTCATTTTTTCTTAGAGGAGTAATGGTTCTTTGATTTTGACCAAATGCATTGTGGTTCATTGACTGCAGCAGAGCAGCGTAAAAGCAATTTAGGAATGTAAATGGGGCCGGGATAGCCTAGTTGGCAGGGCGCTGGACTCACGTTCGTGAGGACGGGAGTTTGAATCCAGCCGGCTGAAGATTTCCCGTGAAGTAAATGGTGACTGTTGCACGCTAAATCTGTCTGGTTGCAAAGTCCTCCATGTTCCCATAACAAATTATACCTCTGGGGGTGCTGAATTGGACATGGATCGTTCTCTTGTTCAGGTCAAAATTACTATCTGTGGATAAGTGAATGAATGTATGAATGGATCCGGACGGATAAGTAAATGGATAAGTAAGTTTACAACGGATGGTGACTGGTGCACACTAAATCTGTTTTGTCGCAAAGTCCTTCATGCTCCCATAACAAATTATTCCTTTGGGGGTACTGAATTGGAGATTGATCGTTCTCTGTCTCAGGTAAACAGTACATTATCTGTGGATGAATAAATGGATGTATGAATGGGTCCGCCCTATAAGCATGCGTGACTATTGTTCTGGCAGAAGTCTAATTCTTGGCCATAGATGGCGCCACTGGAAAACAAGTGATCGCACCACTTGCCTTAATGGCCTAGGACGACAACAGCAGCAAGAATGCCAATATTGAGAATGATACTTTGTATTTAAATTATTGTGTTATTTACCCTTGATAACAACACACCGAAGTATAAGCAATTTGGGAGTATCAATCTTGAGAATAATACTTTACTATCAACATAGTGTTGTTGTCCATTGATTTCAATTCACCGACAGATAAGTAATTTAGGAGGGTCAATCTTCAGGGTGGTACTTTTGCTTTTTCTATTATTGTCCATAAATGACAACACATCACTGACAACTTCCTATTTTTTGATACATTATGAATCTGTTCTTTTTTTAAAAAATATTACACATTCACTTTATTTAGAATAGATAGATCGCATAATAGCTTCATGAGACCCGAGTTTTAATTATAGCACAAAATGCGATTTTAGTTTAGAAGAATTTAAACTCATAAATGCAATATTTTTTTTTTTTTTTTTTTTNGTGTTATTCTTCTAATGATTTTTTTTTTTTTTTTTTTTTGAAAAAAAATTCAAGTACTTCAGCTTGTTTGGATTTTCTAGTTTATTTCAATTATTGCATAAAAAATTATAATTTTAATTTTTATAATTTTTCCCATATTGAAAGATAATTTTACATTTAGTCCCTTTAGTCATGAAATAAAATTCATTAGACTTAATTATTAAGATATTTGTTTGTATTTAGTCCTTTTAGTCATGAAATAAAATCCATCAGACTTAATTATTAAGATATTTGTAAGTATTTAGTCCTTTTAGTCATGAAATAAAATCCATTAGACTTAATTATTACGATATTTGTATGCTATAAAACTTTTTAATAGGTCACTTCAATCGAATTTCTTAACTTTCTTCTGATTTTTCATTGTCATTCAAATCTCCAACCCACGACAAAGCACCGATCCAATTCTATTCTTACTTTGATATTCGCTTTGTAAAGGCATGCAAATAGAAAAAATAATCTCGAAATTAAATTTTTTGAGTAATAAAATTGTATCAAATGTTGTTGAATGCATTGTCTTTGAAAGACTCCGTGCTCCTAGTATTTGATGGAATTTTGAAGACGGTAAATCTGTGACATGATAGTGATTTCTACAGCAACTGTCCTCGTTCCTTCTGGGTTGTTTGTATCCAGTTTAATCTCTCGACTTTTGTGCTCACTAGTTGAATAGTGTCGATTTCTTGTTTAAGCTAGCATTTCATTCAAGTGATGATTATGGAATATGCTCATGTTCATATTGAATCAAAAATATTATTTCAGTTAAAAAATTTAAGTTATATATGAAGAAGCAAAAGCTATGAAACAAATATTACCTTGCAATGAAGTACGTTTCTTTCTATTTTAACAATTCGCTGAAAATTAAAGTTATTACTTAAAAAAAAAAAGCATGTGTTGCATCGCTTGTGAAACGTTGCAAACATCGCTCGTGAAACGTTGTAAACATCGCTCGTGAAATATAATGAAATACGTTGCTGAACTATGAACGTGAGGGGAGAGTAGATTTCGACAAAGTCCACCTTCATATATGAAAAGGTACCTCAACATAGAATCGAGTTAACATGTCTTATATACTAGTGAATTAGAATTGTATTTTTGTAGTGGTAGATACACTACAGTACTCCCCCACCAGAATTATATCTGTGATAGAATTTGATGAACAAATTCCACTAGTTGATTCATTGCTGTTTTGTGAGAAACCGGGAGAGCTGTATTAAGATCACCGTATTTTTGCTAATCGTGAGAGTTGTATTACGCTCACGGTCGTGGTTGCTCCTGTGTTACCATTAGCAGTCGAGTGGATACAGGCCAACGTTGTGTTGATCGAGACTGAGTAGCAACAACGCGAGGAGGTGGGTAATGTTGCAGTCACAAGTAGCAAGTCAACTGTTCAGTGTGGATCATCCATCTTAGTAGGCTTAGTAGGCATAATATTTTTTCACTTTTTGTTTCTATAAACGTAATTTTAAAATATATCTCATTCTACCAATATATTAAACTATTATTAAAGACTGTTTCAGTTGCTTCTAAATACCGTAACATGATGCAAGTCAATGAGGAAAAAATGGTTGTTCTTATTTAAATTTGAGAACATAAATGTTAAAACTATCCGAGACTTTCCATTAATTTGTAACAAACATGGTTTCGTATCGCAGTAGCTGTAACATAATATGTAACATAAGCTTAACTCTTTACATTGCTATTACCAACACACTTTTAATTTTCTAAGTAGTTCCGCCCCTTTTCACTGAAATGATAATAAAGTTAATTGATTTAATTTTAATTCTACTAATATCTTATGATATTGTTACAGAATATTGCAGTTGTTAAAATACGCAGATTAATTACCAGAATTAAACTTGGCGATATGAAAAAAAGCCAGCTTCTTCAGAAACTAAAATCAATTGCTAGGTCTGATATTTCAGAAAATTTAATTAGAACTCTTTAACTGTAAAAACTGCCCGATTCTATTAGAAACATATTACTTGTAGGTGAAGAAAAATTTCAAAACTGGTCGAAATGGCGGATAGAATAAATGATATGAGCTCAAGGAATGAAATTTTTAGGGTAAAGAAAATGGCAACTCAAGAACGATGTCATTGCTCCGATTCAAACGATGAGCTTTTAGAGAGAATCAAGCCATTGGAAGTACAGATTTCGAAATTTAGCTGCATTCGTTCATTACATTTAAAGACACAAAAAATCCAGGTTTTGTACTTTCCCGGTCAAGAAACAAAAATCGCAGGAAGCGATTCAATGAAAAAAGAAAATATTGCTATTATCATTTTATGATTGGCTACCGCTGCCATACTGACAAATGCCGCTAACCTTGCACTTGGAATACGGAAAAGGCCAAAGAGCAATAGCACTAACGGTAAACTCTGCTGTTGAAAGAAAAATATCTTGCCCCCAAATTTCGTTTATTTGTACAAGACAAAAAGACACAAATGCTGTTTTTAGTGGATAATTATAACCTCTCCAGACATTTCTATAAATTTGTAACAAACACGGTTTCGTATCGTAGTAGCTGTAACGTAGTAAATAACAAATTCTTAACTCTTTCCAGTGCTATTAATAATGCACCATTAATTTTCTTAGTACTTTCACTCTCTTTCATTAAAATAAAAATAATGCCAATCGATTTAATTTCAATTCTGTCAACATGTTATGATTTTGTTAAAGAGTGTTTCAGTTGTTACTAGGTACAATAATATGATACAAGTTAATGTGGAAAAGATGGTTTTTTTAATTTTAATTTGAGAACATAAATGTTACAGTTTCCTTAACATAACATATTATAATTATACACATAACATACATAAGTATATTATAATTATTCGAGCAAATTATTAGACGCACTGTAGTGTTTTAATAATTGCATGTTTTGCACTAGTTTGTAAGCGATACTTTCATATTTAAACATACATGTAATGGGTTTTTTATATGCTTTCTATTTGTATTTATTTTTAACGTACATTGTTAACCAATTGATACACGAACTTTAACAAGTGCAAACCGGTTTCAGCCGCGTCAAAACTGTATAGTATCACCCTGATAATTAAGATTTTACATTGAATCTTATAGTGAGTTTAATAATTTGAGCAGGGACGAGTTAAATCCCTTAATAAAATATAATTCATAAAAGATAAAAGAAATTTTATTTTCAGGTACAGAGAAGGGGGACTTGGTTTGCTTGAATCGTCAGTCAATCCTGCTAGTATATCTCCACTTCTTTCATCTAGTACCAATCATCCAGGAACTTCAAATGGTCTATCAGACCAACCGCCACCAAACAATACTTCTGCTAAAGCCACATAAAAACCGTTTTTATTTGAACTCCAAGGACACTTTGTGCCAAATGAACAGAAGTGGTAATTTTCTATGAACGAAAAATGTTGCTTACCACAGTATTGAGCACGATTAAAAAACTTCCTGTGATTCTAAATGTAAAAAAAGAATATTTCATCACTGTTTCATGAACTATTTCTTTAAATTTATTGATCAATTTAGTTGCTGCTAAGAGTAATATTTGATAGCGAAGATTTTCTCTACTTGTTAGAAATGTGCGAATTTTAGTTGTTTTGTGAATATATCATTTTGTGAGTCAGTAAATTTTAGAAAATACATATCGTCAGTTTCAAACCGGTGATTTTCAAACATTTTTGTTTTGAGAAGGATTTTAAAAAAGAAATGGATTGCTTATATTGTGGCTTATAGTTGTTTAACCGGAAATCTACATTATCTATACCCAGAAAAATTTCAATTAGTCCTGCCATCCAGACTGGAATTTCAGTTAGACTGAAACGAATGATCCAAGGAATCGAATTAGGTTTTTTGTCGAGTAAAATCCATCGTTGAAATTACTACATTAATAGAACACCCATCTCCAGTTTCTCTGAACACTAAACTTTCAATTTACAACCTTACACGTTTTATGTTTACACTACCAGTAAAGTGAAGCCTGTTAAGTTGATCACTCTTCTGAATTGACCTGGTTAAGTTGATCTCTATTGTCAAGAACCAAATTTATCTAAAAAAGAGTCCGAAACCTTTTTAACCTCACCACTCGTCTATCTTGTAAAATATGTCATATTTGCATAAGGGTGATATCGAACTCATAAGTATATTGGAAAAAATACTTTTTCAGATAATTTCTATGTTTTTATGTTAAAATTTCCATGCATTAGTGAAATATTATGAAAAGCTAATCAAAAACTTTTCATGAGTTGACCTTATAGGAAACTATTCAGAGCTTTTGTAAGAATTAAGTTTTGAAGTACTAAATTAATTTTAAATGTTGAAATGATTATAATACAAAGTTTCATAATTGCATATGCGTTCTTCTGCATATGCAATACGTATACCTAAATATTATTTTTAATATTTTAAGAGAGCATCAAAAATGATATTTTAGCAAACTTAAAAAATATGCATATCTGTTTGTCTGAAACTAATAAGTTTAATATTAAATTTATGTAACAAATAGTATTTCTTTCTGTAATTAAAAAAAAAGTAATAACATTTATTTTTATTTTTAATGATATATATGAGAAATGTCTGAATAACACAGTGCATCTAATCTGTCTTAAAATAACATTAAATAAAAAATGGAATATTGAAAAACATCCACTCGTCAACCGCTAAAGCAATGCACCGTAAGTGGTCAACTTACACAGGTTTTAGTGTACCGATACAGGTTTCAATATACTGAAGCAATTTCTAGGATTTCAGAAAAACCCAAATACTAACCCAAATAGGTCACTCTTTTCAGTCTAGGCAGCATCTCAAATGGATGCATACACACAGTTATTTCTAAATAAATAAATATTATAGGTCTACTGCTGTCATACTGGATAGCATACGTGTCATGGAATAAAGAAAAAGAAAACAAACTTTCTTTTATTCACCAATTATTTCAAATAAGTTAAATTGTTTTGGTGAATAAACCTCTAAATACCCTTGTATAATTATTTCTTAAATTGATAAACCTTTGAACTTTTTGCATTCATACAAAAGATTAACTATCTCATCAAAAGAAAACAAAGTTGTATAAAAAATGCTTCGTTACGTACAATTTTCTTTAATGAGTGGAAGTATACATTGTTGCTTTAACATTTCTTGGTGACTGTTATTTGTTTCATATTATAAATTAATGTAATGTTCTCTAAAATAAATAGGACAACTGGAGATAAATAAGACTGCCCATAATCCTCATCATCAAATGCGAAGGAACAGATAGAAGAGAATTAATGGAATTATATTTTTTGCTGTTATTTTTAGTTATAATTTGTATCTTGAATTATTTTTAAATATTACTCAAATACTGCAATATTCTTTTATTGTATTTTGCTTCCGATTGACTTCTTTGCAAAAGTAGCCACAAAAGTATTTTTAATATTTAAAAAAACACATTTCTTTCTGTTATAAATATTTTTGAATTGGCGTTATTAAATGCGTTGATATCGTGTCCCTAGCTGAAATTGTTATTCTTAGGTTGCTTTCCTTGTACCCGAAACTGGTATTTAGTGCTTAACATTCGTCGCAATTTTTTTTTCTTTCTTTTGATATCAGAAAATTGACTTAAACGTATGCAAAAAAAGCATCTGTTATCACAGAGAATATTTTTTTAAAGAGAATAAATATTTTTATTAATAAACGCACGTTTTGCATTTGGAACAATGCTATGAAAATCAGCTTAAACATGTGCAAAAGTGTAGCGTTCAGAACAGAAAATATTTTGCTAAACATTAAATTTGATTTTATTATTAATCGTTTTTCAACGGGAACAATGTTATGAAAAATGGTTAAAACATATGCAAATGTGTATCAATCAATACAGAGGACATTTAGAAAAAAATTAAATGTGTTTCATTGTTTTTATTATTCCGGATGTATAAATAGCAACCTTTATATAAGTAGCTATAATTAACATATTAAAATTATCTGCTGAAATTTTCATTTGATAAAGATAAAATTTATTAATTTTTCGCATTAAAAATATCTTGAATTCTCTTAAAAGATTAAAAATACTTTTAGAACTCTTTTGCTACTAAGTCTATTCTGAACCGTTCCATGAAATATTTTTAAACAATATTTCAGAAAACTTTTGAATTTAACTCTTAATAAACTTTTTGTGGTCACGTATTATTAATAATTAATTATAGTGGTGTCTGAGATTTGATGATCACAATGAATTAAACCCGAAGAGCAAAAATTTATATTTTAAAAGCTTTTGGAAATGTGCAGTTTTTTTTATAATTTAATTGCTTATTACTCCTTCTGTATCGAAATTAATGTTCAAGACGAAACTGGCTTACGTTATCGAAATGAAATCTATAAAAGTTTTACCTGAGTTTTTGTACTTTTTACCATTTGGTAACCATATGGTCTTTTTGTTTTTAAATACTCTATAACACTAAACTGAGCCTTGCGTCGTTCAAAATAGGTAAAACGATAAAAATAAAAGACATTTTGCAACCTATATTAATTTTTTTTTTCTAATTTTTTCACTTTACTTTGTTAATTATTAAAATTTAAGAGTAATTTTAATAAGCAGTTCCTCTAATACATTATTTATTTCTTTGCATTGTCAGTGAAGTAATGTTTATTATTTACGACTGTGTTTTAAAATCAGTTTGTATAATTAAAGTTCTACTAAATCAAACAAATAAAAATAAAATCTATTGATTTCGATACAGAGGGTAATAGTAATTTTTCTAAGTAACATAATGATCACTAAGCATGCCTCTTTTAAATAAATTATTAACGTGAAAAAAATATTCATGTAAATAGTGCATTTTGGTACAATTCGTTAAATAGTTCTATATGAAAATTTTTTCTATATTTCAAACTTCTGTTTTTAAATATAGTTTTATTTTAATTATTAATAAGTTTATGGAAGTGTAAGGCTTAACTGTGCTATGATTAAATTTTATTGAAATACACTGTAGTAAAAAATTTTGGTGTATAGCTGCAACCATTTTAAGGGATCATTTAAACTGAATATATTTTTAAGTTCAGAGCTGTGGTTATCGTTATTTAATTACATAAAAATGAAAAAAAAAACAACAATTATTTGAAAGAATTAGTGCAAATATATTACTAAAAATATGCTTGTTTTTTAAACGAATGTTTTTTGTAATGAAGTAACTAAATTGATTCTAATTCATATAAAAATACGTGTTGTCAGTAAGCAAACAAGCAAAAATTGAATAAATAAATAAAACTATAGCAGTGAAAAAGTTAAATAAAAAATGTGACTACACACTATGTAGACTGTAAAAAATTTCAGCAATAAAAAAGGTGGCGACTGTGCACCAAAATATTTTATAACGCAACTTTAACTTATTGTATAAAAGAATTTATTTTTTTTAATTTTCTTTAATCTCATGAAATATTTTGACTTGATTAATCCTTAACCACTGAGATTTTAAATTAATGTATCGAATTAAGTTTCCTAAATCTATACATTTATTAGATATAAGGATTAAGGAATTTCATATTTACCAAAAACGTCTTATTTTCTCAAAATAGTAAAAATTTATTTAATCAGTAAAAAAGTTACTAAATTATTTATTCAAATAGTAAAAAAGTTACTAAATTTTTCAACTATATTTTCAAAAAAAAAAGAAGAAATAAATAAAATAAAAAAACACTTATTTAACTTTAAAAAAATCAAGGATGTTCTTCGGATTTTAAAAAATACAAGTAAAACGAAGTTTTATTTACTTTATTTCGTTCATCCGCATCTTTATATTGTTTCTTTGTTATTATATATTAAATTATTATACATCAAATTTAATATTTTTTAATAAGAAACTTAAAATTTATGGTCAAATTATCCTTGAATTTAACTTTCAAAATCATACATTTTAAGCAATAATGCTTTTGATTAGGACTAATTTTATCTTGCAAAATTCAAACTACTAGTTCGAAATAAGACAAATATTCATTTTTAATACAACCGTATCTTTTATTTGAATAAATCCTTGATACAGAGTTAAAAATATCAATTCGAAGTTGATGTAGACCAAATAACGATACTTTAGAGTCTAAACTATAGCCAGAAAGATAAGGAATCAATCAATATTCAATGAGGCGCCATTTTTAAGCATCATCATTACGTGAATTTTTTCCGCAGCCAAAATTAAGTCTCAGTTATAGGTTGCGTCATAATAACGTCATGTTCGTTGAGAATACACGTGTGGCGTCGGTCACTTATCAACGAATTTTTCACACCATGAAAATTGACCCCTATAATTTTTTATTATCAAAGTACTCGATTGTCCTTTTGACAACTCTGTGTGTGATCAGTTTGACCAATAGCTTGACAAAATAAATCTATAAGAATACTTGAGATACAAAACGATTAAAGAAGAAAATTGATTTTTAAATAAAATGTGAAACTGTCAACCTTGTCATTTTTTGTTAAATTAAAAGAAAAAAAATATTGCTCAAGTTGAGACTCTTTATTCTTCATGTGTATAGTTAGTTAATGTGTTATTGATGAAATGAAATGTGTTAGCAAACTTAGGCAGTAGTTCTGGCACAAAGACCATTCGAATAAATTGCTTCCGAAATTTCTTTAGTCTTTGTCTTTTTCTTTACATTAAAAAATACATACCAGGATGGACGAATTCAAAAACACGAGATTCACTGCAATACGACATTTTTTTTTCTTTATTGCCCTATTCAGTTGTCTGAAAATAAAAGCAATACTCGAGTATACTAGTAACTTAATAACAATAAAATATGTAAGATATTATTAAAAATTAACTTTTAATGATTTAGGTCATACTGCAAAATTCGATATACTAGATATACTTCGATATGCTGATATTCGAGTTTACTAGTAACTTAATAACAATAAAATATATTAGATATTATAAAAAATTAACTTTTAATTTTTTAGGTCATACTGCGAAATTCGAGAAACAAGATACGATATATTACGATGTACTGATATTTGAGTATACAAGTAGTTAATAACAATAAAATACCTAAGATATTATTGAAAATTAACTTATAAATATTTAGGTCATGCTGCAAAATTCGATATATTAGATACGATATAAAAAACGATGACCTGTGGCTGAGCGGTAGCGCTTCACGCTGTCGTGACATAGGTCCCTGGTTCGATCCTGGGGCCGGGCAAAGTTGACTCAGCCTTTCATCCCTTCAGTGGGTCGATAAATGAGTACCAAGCATGCTTGGGAACTAAACACTGGGGGTTCCGCATTCGGCTGACCACCTGACCGGAGCATCTGCTTCTGCACCTCAGAGCTCAAGGTCAAGAAAACTGAGATGGGCACAGTAGCCCTTGGTCCTCTATGGGCTGTCGCGCCACTGAGTTTAGTTTAGTTATAAAATACGATATACTTCGATATACTGATATTCGAGTATACTA